CAAGCATTGGGCCCGAACTCACGCCTCCCGCTCCCCCTCTTCTGGACGGCTGCTATTTCTGGTCCAAGTGCAGGCTGTCGGGCTGTCTCTGACGACAAACTTACCGCCGGAGTGGTTCGTGGAGCCTCTCGAATCTTTCCCTCGAGTTAGCCCGAAACCTTCATTTCCAGTCCGGTATTCCTACCTATCCACTCCCCTCTGATCCATCCAATCCATCTTGATTTTGACCAAGGAGAATGGGGGTGGGCGCTCGGTCTCCCATGGTCGATCCTCCAAAGGCCCAATGCTAATAATATTTTCCCCGTCCAAGCTCCAATGAGAGGAGAGAAAAGGAGACGGGCGGGCGGGACGATCCACCAGGTTGGCACAGTCGTTTGGCGGGAGACAGCGGGTATCTGCAGGACGGGCGAGTCTCCCATTGAAATCAGCTCATGGCGCTCCGGGCCACGGTGGAGGCACGATGCAAGCAAGTCATGCCATGCAGCAGATGGGAAGGGATGAGAAGTGAAGGCGAATGAGCGAAATGTCGAGGGAGAGAGAGGCCTTGCTATAGTTGCCGTAGGCAGTCAATAACAAGGCTATTGAATGTGGAAACGATAGAATGACAATCAATCAATCGTCCCTTGGACAAGACCACAACGAGGCAATCAGCGTCATCAGAGCAATCCCCGTGCCAGATTCAATTCCCAACGGGTAACTTGAACCGCATGCCCCCTCAATTGATGGACCAACAAGATAGTCGTGTCGCCTGCCTGACTCTGCCTCCAACTCGCTGCTGGGCCACATCTGCAAGCGACTGGAATGTTGCATCGTGCCACGGCGACCGACCATGTGCGAGGAGCGGTGCAGCGCAGTGCGGTGTGCGACAAGAGTTGAGGAAATTCCCTATTCGCATCCATACATGGCCGTCTCGCGCCTTTGCAAACTGGGCTTGAACCTCCGTGCCAGAAGTCTCAAGGATTGCACAGTGCCTGCCTGTCATGGATGAGGTGTTTACCGCTTTTGCATCTTTAAGCGGGAAGATCAGACATGGGTGCCAGATTCGGTTCCTCGGACATTTTCCACTGCGTAATTGTATCGGATCGAGGATTTGTAAATTTGGCCTTTTGTCTTTTGCCATGGGATTGATTGTTAATCTCGGCACCAAGCACAGACAGAGAGTCAGACCCGACAGAACTCGGGCAGAGTTTCGGTCAAACAACGTCAGCGAACAGACGTAGGCGCAGGCACAGGAGTCATAGTCGACTAAGCTACTGCGCGCAGTGAGAAGTTAGAACCCCTCAGCCGGGATGATTGCGTCGTTAATGTGTGTGCTGTAAGCATGCCTGCCCCTTGCTGCTGCGCGTGTAGTTGTGGTTGCGGTGCCTCGGCACGCACGCAACCACCAGAAGCCAGGCGACAACCACACTGCCCTGGCGCGTTGCAGGCGGCACTCGGCCCTTATTCGCTAGCGAAGGGACAGGTCAGCAGCTTGCAAAAGAACCCTTCCATCGCCATGTTTTCCATGATGCAGATGGGCAAGTTGATTTGCCCACCGAGAATGAACGGTTCTTCCAGACGTTTAGCGCAAACGTCCATCGCCCTGCACCCAGTGGCCTGGGTGCCTGGGTTTAATGAAGACTTGTTCCGTCAGTGCCACTCAGGACACTCCTCGCGAGAGCCCCACGTGTGATTGGGGGGAGCTTGGTCTGTTTGAGGAGTGGAATGGTGGACTGATGGAAAACGGAGTCTCTCCAATGGATGGGTTGGATCCAGGGGTGCATCTTGCACTGAGGCAAACGGGAGCGCGGGAAGGGAGGAGGAGGTGGTCCGCCCATGGTAACCCTGGGGTTGCCCATGCTGTCGGGATGCAAACGAGGCGCAGTCAGTCATTGACTTTTTTGTCGAAACGCACGCCGCGCTGTGCTGTGCAGTGCAGCGCTGCAGTCGGAGATAGGAGTTGAGGTGGAAGCGACATTGGGTCATACCGACTTTTCAAAAGCTGAGGCTTCGGTACCAGAGTGTTGGGCATTTGATTTGATTGTCAACGCCATCGCGGATGATACAGCCGAGTGTTGACCAGCCGGAGCACACCTGGAAAATGTTTCCCGTCAATGATAGCAAAATGCAACGGCAAAAAAGAGGAGTCGGAACTGATGGAAGTGACGTCTCATAACGAAAGCACAGGGTTTGAACTGGCGCCATGGCTACAGTAGTTAGCAGCTCGCGATACCCTTGGCCAAGACAAGACAAGGCCTCCCTCTGTTTGTCCCCAATCTCGTCTCGGCCGGGAGCTGCCCCCGAAGAAGCGATACTCGTGCTCGAACATGCTGGGTGCGAGAGGTTCAGTCAGTGGCAGGGGAGGGGAGGGGATGGACGGGTTCTGGTTGGGATCTTGCTTGGGCGGGGTCCCGGGAAGGGGTGTGTCTGGGTGTGTGCCCGGTCCCATGGGTGGGAGAGCAATGATGTGACTGACGTTGTTGATGTTGCTGCTGCTGCTACCTTACCGCTCCAGTTACCAAGGAACGGCGTACTGTGCATTGTGCACTGTAACATAGCCCTGACCCTGACCTCTTCCTCGGGACAACCCCGAAAAAGGGTTCCCAGCTTTGGGTCCAGGTATTACGTGGAGGTGCATGCTGGCGTTTTGCATTGGATTTCTCGCGAAATGGATGGATAGGATGCACGGATGGCGACAGGCAAACGGTTTTTTTTTCTTCTGTACAAGTCTCGTCCCCAACACACACACACACACACACACGAATGTTGTGAGACACGGCAGAGACGCCGCCTGAGTCGGAGGGCCCAGATCTTTCCCTTCTCTCGGGTCTGATCTTGTCTGCTTCAAGTTGCCGCGACCGTGGCTGGCCTTGGCCGGAAGTGCCGTCTTCAACATCGAGACCTTCCCCGCTAATCCTGGCCTTCTGGATCACGCCGCAGCCGCCACCATACTCGAGCTTGGTGACGGGAGAGAGAGAACCGCGCGCGGAAACAAGAGAGGTAGCAGAAGCAGTAGGTAGCTAGAGACAGTGTTACGTCGAAGTGGTCCTCGATAGGGCCCCTGGTACTCGGCCAAGAAAAAAATTTATTGAGACACACACATGTTGGCACTTAGGGCTACTAAACTATTCAGTGGAGGAATAAGCAATGAGAATAACTAGTCGAGTTGTTTGATAAAAAAATATGTTGAGAGAGTTCAAGGTTCTTCCTAACCCAAGATATTTTTACCATAATTTCTTTTGCCGTTTGACAGATTCCCTTATTATTGGGGCAAAAAGTGGTCAAGTTGTGTCCTTTTCTTAGGCCACGAGCTTTTCTAAAGTTGGGCCAATACTAATCCCCACTGGGCTAGCAACTAAAGGCAGAATCATGCCGGGGGGGGACATCCGCTGGCCTTGCACAACTCATCAACTTGCAACTCGCAACTCCCAGCGCTCTGGGTCTCCCTTCATCAATGACACCCGATGGTTGGTTTGCCTTCTCCACACTCAACACGGGGCATTCCCCGTTTCCGTGGTCGCCCTTCGGTGTCGACCCGTCCACTCACACACCCATGTTTATCGTGTCGTGTCGTGTCGCCTTGTGCGACCGACAAGACATGAATCGTCAACAGGCCAGGCAAGGCCTCCATGCTGGGATAGAAAAGGTTGAACTGACAGGCCGACTCAGGGCCTCGATGCTGCCACTGACGGCTGGCGGCCGACCGCAAGGATGTGGTCTCGAAGCAATTGCACCCACGTTTGCTGCCATTTGCTACCATCTGCTCGCCACCAGGCCTCTTCCAGGACGACCCAACTGTGTGTGCACACGCAGGGCGGCGTTGATCAGTGTACCGCCCGTCTGGAAAGGGAAATACCACGGAGGATATTGCTGTTCCTCAACTCCGTCAGACGGACACTGTGTTGCTAATGGATCCATGGGTGCCATGACAGGGGTCGCTCTTCTGGTTAGGTTCCCTGTGAGGAGAAGAGGCGCCTCTGGCCATGCGCACACCCTCCAAGGCCAAAAGAACCAAGCGAGGGACGCATCGCCAGGGCCGCCCGAACCACGCGCCAAACCACACCTTTCCCTTCCCGTCCCCAGAGTCCGAGCGAGGGCTTCTTGGCGTCGTCCCTCTCCCTGGAAAGGGTCCCGCTACAGTTCCCGGTTCCAGCGTCGACTCTTGCATCTGGTGCTGCTACTACTACTGCTACCGCCGCCGCCCACTAGAGATCAGGTCTCGCTGCCGGATTGATTGATTCTCACAGGCCGTTGGCCACAACTCGCACGCCCTCTCCCCTCTCACCCCCGTCCTCCCCCACAAGCCCTTTCCCGCATGGGGTCATGGATTCCCATGGATCCCTCACAACAAACTCGTACGGCTTGTCACCAGGCATTGGGTGCTTTGGGCCCTTGCCGCCATGGGCCGCCTGCTATTCGCTGTCCGTCACCTCCGTCTTCTGTAGCGCTGTAGCGCCGGGCCGCCTGTACCCACTGATACCACCACGCCGGCTCGCCTACTACAGCGCTGCCCCAGCTAGTGACGACCAGAGCCAGAGTAAGTATAGTTCGCCCGCCCTCGCCCATCCTCCCTCTACGAACCTTCTCTCCCTCTCCTCTTCTCTCCTCCCCTCAAAACCTCCAACCAACCACTCCATCTTCGCAATTCGTCTGCGTCATGGGAGGTCTATAAACTCTGCCTCAGCCTGTGCCAATCCTCGATACACGATCCCCTTCCGCCTCGACGTTCCTTGATTTGGTCCGTCACCATCGTTCGATAGTCGCCTCCATTGAGCGCCACTCCCCGGTCCGACCGAACTTCGTCTACTTCGACCCATTAATTCGGACTACACGAAACATCGCAATCCCGCCCATCCACAATTTTCTTGACATATTTGCCTCCTGCATCCGGACTGTCGTCTCAGCGGGCAATTAAAGCATAACTATTTTCCGACCCTAGCTCCCGTTTATTCGGCCCTCATTTAAATCCCATCGATATCAACCATCTGTAGTCGATCAGTTACACACAACCAATCGACATCATGAGCTCTCCTTCGCAGGCCGCGCCCTCGGCGCCCAAGGAGGAGAAGAAGGAGAAGGGTCTCAGCAAGCTTCTCACCAGAACCAAGACCTTCCTCAAGCGGGAGAGTTCTTCCAACAAACGGCTGTCCACCATGTCCACCACCAAGGCCGCTCCCGCCGGCCAATCTGAGCCCGTCAAGACGAGGTACGCTTTTTCCGTTACGAATTGCTCGGTTTTCCTGGATCTGCGTGCCCCGAAAATGCTCCCTGGAGTATACCTGGGTGTTTGCGACTTAACCAGGACATCGTCAGCCATTCTGTGGTATCAATCGGTTGCTAACTCTTTCACAGTGAACCCGCCGCCCCTGAGAAGAAGGCTCCCGACGCCAAGGCTCGATACGAAGGCCTTGAGGGCGTCTCCAAGCTGACCAGGAGCCAGCTTATTGAGGAGCGCGCCAAGAAGCTGGGCGAGCGTTATGGACTTGATATCAAGATTTCGGAACTTCAGACTGGATCTCCCGACGACACCGTTCTCCGTATGGATAAGCCCATCCGCATGCGCGTCCGCCGAACCTGCCACAAGTGCAATGCCACTTTCTCTTCCGCCAAGGAGTGCCCCAACTGCCAGCACGCCCGTTGCACTAAGTGTACTCGTTACCCTCCCAAGCGAACCGAAGCCGAGATTATCGCCAGCCGTGAGCGACGTGCCGCCATTATCAAGGCCAACAAGGAGAACGCCCCTATTATTCCCGACTACTCTTACGCCTTTGACGAGAAGAAGATTGTCCTCACCCGTCCCAGCAAGACTGGCGGACAGGATCTGGTCCATAAGAAGCCCCGCCAACGGGTTCGCAGAACTTGCCACGAGTGTTCGACGCTGTTTATTTCCGGTAACAAGACTTGCGAGAAGTGCGGCCACGTCCGCTGCACGGACTGCCCTCGAGACCCGTATGTTGAGACCTGGAATCCTTGGCGTGATTTAATTGCTAACAACATATGTAGGCCCAAGAAGGACAAATACCCATACGGATATCCTGGAGACGAATTCGGTCCTAGTAGCGTACCCCATTACGAGTGCAAGGACTGTAAGACGGTATACCCAACTGGAGCAGAAAGCGGAACCAAGTGCAAGAAGTGTGGCTTAGAGAAGACGGACGATTCGCCTCGTGTTTTACCTCGCAAGGTCGAACCCGAACCAGACCCGGAGTTACTGAAGAAGCTACAAGAGAGGCTTGAAAACCTGAAGGTAGCATAACGAGCAGCATGAACCGACCCCCTGAATCAGGGGTCAGTTCGGGGATGAAGAGAGGAGGTATTTCTTTGGTCTTTCCTACCTACGACGACATTCGACCGGCGAGAGCGAGAAACGATTGCCAGAAGATTTGTCACCCATCCCGATGAGTTGAAAGATTGTCCGCCCTCATCAGCAGTCCTTTCTACTTCTATTCGGCCATACGTTGCACGGTTCATCCAACCCATGTCGCATGCATGCATCCATTGACAGGCCCGACACGACGGTTTGCATACTACTACGAAAGCCTGTTGGTTCCCACGAGATAGAGAAGGCGGAGTTTATTTACCTGACGCGTACGACATCACGATCTGGATCATTCAAGCGCCGCCTCCATGATTTTGCATTCACCAGTCATTTACACACGCATTTACGAACAAGAGTTGTTTCAAGGGGAGCGGAGCGAGTTTGAAGAGGACACTGATTTTTTCTGAAAAAGAGGAGTTTGGGGAGAGAAGACAGGAAGAACGGCACTGGGGAAGAGCCGTTGGTTGAGTTTGTGTCTCGAAAAGCTGCGCATAGAACTTCTGGGGAACTGGGGGGCCTGGCAGGGGAGCGGATGAATACCAAGCAGGTGGGCCATATGGTTAATGTGTTTGGCGACAGCGAGAAAGCGGTGTTTTCCTTGATTCTCTCGTGGTCACAGATTCTTTTGGGGAATGTTTTCTCTCCTCTCATCAATCAATGAGACAATGTCATTCTTCACGACATGATATCTTTCACTTCTGATGCAACAATAACAAGAGCAGGCAATATCAACCATTGCTTATCATACCTCGGGCCCTCAAACCCTGGTCCATGACCTCACCCTTGTCTCACAGTTGGTCGCAACACCTCCCCAGGCCCGTGTAACAGCGATCTTCTGCATGCTGCCTCACACCACGCAACACACCATACCCACCCCATTTTTCATTTGTTCCCAGGAAGAACCCCGCCAGGGTTTCCTCCCTTTTTACCGGAGCGCCTCAGCTTTGCCTGCCCCCAAGGCGGGGGAAATGTCGTGACCAGACTGGCGGTACCGGGGGGGATGGCTCGTGTGTTTTCTCAAGTATCACCACATGAGCGGATTTCTTGCATTTGGGCCGCAATCAATCTCATCAAACTGTGTGTCGTTCCTTTGTCTGCATACACGTATTGCTTTTGTGAAAGCCTGGGGAGTGGGTGAGAGGGCACGTAGTCATCAAAAAAAAACTCAACACCAGGACGATTGCGCTTAGTTAAGAGTATTCACTCTATAGCCTAACTATAAGCTAAATCAGAGATAAAAATGAGAAATAATATCATAAGCCTTAGAATACTATATTCAGCTACGTCTAGGATTATAGTATTTAGCGATCCTCTTGCGTTAGAAACTACCTAGAGAGTGTTGATTTAGTGTCTTGTGTTTTTATGACTACGTGGAGGGACTCTAGAATGTCAGATTCTCACATGCAACTTTGCTTTTTGAAAGAACCACTGCGCCCCCGAGTTGCGCCGAACTGTCTTTTTTGTGAGCTATCTTACTGTCAGAGGTGGGTATTCTCATCCACGTTACGAGGTCGCTTGGGAGGATTCGGAGATTGTGTGCACCTTGCGTGAGTGTGTGTGTGTGTGTGTGTGTGTGTGTGTGTGATGGTCTCGTGGTTTGGGTTTGTAGCGGTGTGGGTTTCGGGCTGCGGCTGGATGGTGGTATTGTGAGGGAAAGCTGGTGGTTTCGGAATGGGCGGGGAGGGTGTCTGAATTATGAATAAATCTATATAAAATATAATAAAAGAATGAAAAGGTATATCATAATATAGGCAATACTTTAGGACATTTTTTATTATGATCTTTATGATCTTTAGGGGAGAATTAGGTAAAGGGACGGGTGTTTGGGTGTTGAGAACGGTGTGCCAAGGTATTCTGTATGTGGGTGCTCTTTACCTGGATGTCACAGCTGAGAGACATCATACACTCATAGACGGTTGCTCGTTGATTCAATGATACCTTGCTACTCTCGCTTGTTGTACTATCTACTAGGTATCAAGATATCAGCTACAATAGAATACATTAATAACATGACTCCTAACCTGCCAACTTCCATGGCTCCCCTGTCACTCATTCCCCTCCCCTGCAAACGTGACGCTTCTGGAATATCATGCCCAGAGTTCCATGGAACAAATCATTCGATAGCCTTCTCGTCAAGTTCTTCCCTGATAAACGGCTCCATGTTGAGCCTAGCCGTATGTGTCACCGACGCTCCCAGGGTACCGATGCGGTTCACTTTGCGGCCGAAATACCTCCCGGCTCCATCCATGCGGTTGTTCAGGTGCGCGTACAGGTCGTCCACCCGGGCCTTGGACACGGCGTCGCGGAACTCGGCCGGGTTGAGGATGGGCATGAGGCGCTGCGTCGGGTAGAAGCGACCCCGGATGGACTGCTCCTTGAACACGACGTTCTCCTTGACGAGCGCGTAGCGCCAGCGCTGCGCTCCCACAGAGTGGCGCCACTGGCTCTCGAGCCGCAACGCGATGGGGAGGTGCTCGTCGCGCACGATATTGGGCTTGTCCTCCGACACGAGCTGGTAGATGTGCCCGCGGAAGAAGACGCTGCCGGGAAAGTCCTTTGTCGTGAAGATGAATCTCAGGCCGAGCACTCCCGTCTCGGCGGGCACGTTAAGCTCCGCGGGGAGTGATCTCAGCCGCATCGCGTCACCGATCTCGACCCGTTCTGCTCCAAAGAAGCAGCCGTAGTAGGTCGCAGGCTTACTAGTGGGGTCATCTGATAGCGGAGACCAGAGGGAGTAGGAGTAGTCGATCTTGACGGCAGCCATCTTGGAGGCATCGAGGGCAATCGTCTCTCGTCTGTTGCCATCCGCTGCCCCCTTTAGTAATGGTTCCCATGGGACGCCGTCAAACTCCTTGTCCTTGAGCTCGGGGAGGGTGACTGGCGGGACCGTAAACGCATAGAATGGCCGCATGTCACCGTCAGTCTTGGACACATTGTTCTGCTGGACGAGGCCATGTCCGATCGGCATCACCTCGTGGCGCCCGTTCGCAGACCCGGCTATGACGCCGAGACGCCATGTATTTCCGTTCTGATACCACACCAGTTCTCCCGCGCGAAAGAGCACAGCTGACTTGAGTGCCCATTGGATAGGCTGGGGCTGCGCTTGAGGGGAGGCCTGGGCCTGAGGTTGTGGTTGAGGTTGAAGCTGAGACTGAGGCTGCGACTGAGGTTGAGGTTGAAGCTGAGGCTGAGGCTGCGACTGAGGTTGAGGTTGAGGCTGCTGCTGTTGTTGCTGCTGCTGCTGCTGGTGCGGCTGAGGTTGTTGCTGCTGGGTTTGCTGTGGCTGGATCTGGGGTTGAGATTGGATGGGCTGTGGTTGTGGTTGTTGTTGGACCTGGGGTTGGTGTTGAGCCGGCGGCTGATGGGCTGTTGTAGCAGGAGGTGCTGGTGAGTTCTGAGCCGTTGTTGTTGGTGTTGGCTGAACAGATGACTGCCGTGATCCAGCATTGTTTGTCTTTACGGGCGGCCGTCCAGGCATCGGGGGTAGAGGCACCGGTGTCACCTTGGGTGGTAACTTTTCAACCTTGGGGGGTTCATGGGTGATGATGAGCTCGTCTGTAACTCCACCCTTGATCAAGTTGGATGCGTTGCAGTGTGCGCAGCAGCAGTCTCGGTAGTCCATCGAGGTTGAGAGGAGCCATATCAAGTGGACGGCAAACTCCTGTGGGCTCTTGAATAGCTTCGCCTTGATCGGGTAACCCGATACCCAGAGATGCTTCGACTTTTCGTATAGCCAATATCCCCGTGGGAAATGCACCAGCCATGGGTTTCCTTCTATGGTGGCTGTTAGATATGGTCAATGATGCTCAAGGATGTGGCTCACCATCGGGGTTAGGACACAGCTCCTGTTTCAACAGAATGCCCAACTTGACTCTCCACTCGACGAATCTCGGGTCATCCTCCGCCAGCCGGATCATCTGAGGTTTGGTTCTCGGTGTCTTTTCTGTTGTTGTCGCGTCCTTCATCTTCTTAGCGGTGACCGTAGGTGGAGCTGTCACCGGCCAATAGCCAGGACCAGTATCCGCGCCATCACTCCTCGCTACCCGGATGACGTCGAACTCCTTCAAGTCTGTCGTGGCCATTTTGGTGTTTTGGTGCTGTCAGGTGTTCGGTAGGTGGTGGATTGGCCGTATACTGGGCTCGAGCAACTCGGCGCCGAGATGCGCGTGGGACCCAGTTCTCAGGGGTGAAGCCACCTCGATGGCCGTCCGGTTTGCTCAGTGAATGGCGCTGGTTGGAAAATGGGCAAGAAATTCTTCTTTCTTCAAAGACGCGGAAGTTGTGCTCTTTTCGTCACGTGTTTTGCAGATGTCGCACCGCTCTGATCAACATCTAATGGATATCACCACCACGTCTTCGACGCGTGGCCAAGGTTGCACAGGACCACTTGGTCGAACCAGCGCAACGACAGAGTCACTCAATGCCGCTTATCCCCCGGTGAGATCTCATATGCCGGCCAGCTGAATACACTTTGAGGAGCTGTCGCCTATGAAAAAGCTATCCGCATGTGGTGAGTGATGAAAGGGTTCTTGAGTTGAAGCTCAAAGCTCTTGGTCGCCAATCATGCTTCAGCTGAGTCAGCATTCAGCATCGAAGTTACCCTACACTACGACGTGAATTCAATATTTCTTATCCAGGAACCTGTTTAGCCGTATTTTAGTTACCCCTGCTTGATCCATACTTCCATTTTTATGATGCCTTTGATGTGTTTCCTGTAATCATGCGGTGAATACAATGGCACGCTTATAGTAGCTGTAGAAAGACGATGTAGATTCCTGGTTGCCTCAAAGAGTAGCCGCCTCTGTAGCACCACCTCCTGCATCGAGTCACAAGCTTCCCAGGACATCCAAGGCAACCATCCGATAAACGAGAGTTGCACTCATTCACCACACTATGACAACGCGTAAGAATACCAAACATCAGTAAGGCAAAGGTGTTGACTTAAGAGTAGTAGACAGCTCCGAGGTCACCCGCCACCACAGCCACACGAGGCGGTGCATGCACTCAATTAACCCTTCACAGCAACGCGTGAAACGCGTCTCCCAGCTAAACCAAAGCCTATCGCAACGTCCTTTGTTCTGCGCAATTCTCAACACACACTCTCAGCGCCCAGATACTGCAGCGCGCACCGAAAAATAGCAGGTGCTGAGAATGAGCGACCACAACTTCAACGATGGGAATCGGGCATTCCTACAGGCAATCCTAGCCCGAGGTTCCATCACCTTCGAGGATTCCCGCCCTATCCTCGCTGCGATATTCAACGCCGACCGCGGCGAAGACGAAGGAGATGAAATCCGACCGGGCCAGATCACAGAAGACCATTTTCAAGAGTACATGGACAAGGCAGCTGAAGCGGCATCACTCTTCGATTATGAAATTCGCACCACGATCCATCAGACGACGAAGCGGCGCATCTATGCTCTGGTCAACACCACTTCCGACCCGCAGACCCAACTCGCCACGACATATAGCCCCGACGAACTCTCATTTATCAAGCGAGTTTTTGATGCCATTTTCGACAAGTTCAACACTCCGCGAATGGAAGTGCTCGCCATCACCGAAATGCAGGCGATCAAGTGCGCACGACCGAGGCAACAAGAAGCCGAAATCGACGCGGATGCGCAAACACAGACACCAGCCGACAAGGGCCTGAAGCACAGCGAAGTTGAGGCTGTACTGGCCAGTCTGGTCGAGGGAGGCTGGTTCGAGAAGAGCGCTGAGGGTTTTTACACCTTCTCTCCACGAGCGCTACTTGAACTACGGCCCTGGCTTGTCGAGACCTACAATGATCCAGACCTTGACCCGCGAGAATGGCAGCGGATCAAGTTTTGCGAAGCATGCAAGGACATTGTCACAATCGGTCTAAGATGTTCTGAGCTGGAGTGCAATTTCCGTTTACATGATGTCTGTCAAGAAGCATTCTGGAGAACAAGGCGGGAGCAAAGATGCCCTAAATGCTCCAGAGAGTGGACAGGTCAAAAGTACACTGGCGAACGAGCCGTAACATCTACCGATGCATTTGAGAGAGGCCGACGAAGAGGCGGCGGTTGGCGAAGAAGCACACTAGCCGACGATATCATCCGTGAAGAAGGAGGCGTAGCAGACGAAGCCCAGGATGAGGATGAGGACGAAGAGAATATTTATGATGCGGACTAAAACGGCCGATACACTTTCCTTAGCTATTCGAGATACCCAGGGTCAATTGGAATCTGAAAATATTCGGGGGCATGCCTGTACCTGGCCCTCTAGCCGAAGTTGCAATTTGCAAACCTCTCAAGTCTCCACCCACACATGGGATGGGACCTTATGCTTAGGTATCCATCCATGGAAGGTCTCCAATTTTGCAAAACTTCCAGAAAAACGTCGGCAGTTGGTCGTCGATCATGAAGCAGCGTTAGTCGCGTGGGGGTTGATGGAGGGGGATGGATGTCAAGTTAGAGAGGGGAGCGGAGCGAGCTGGGCGGCAGCCACAATTTTGATCCATGACATCACATGTGATGTGGCTGTGCAAGCTCTTCAGCTGTCGATTCGTGTACGACGAATGCGAGTGAAACAAAGGCGAATCATCTCAAGCGCGCGCCTATGCGAACCTCTTCGCCCCTCGAGAGTCCTTTTTAGCCCAGAGCCGGCGGCCTCTTTACCCTCTGCCTGTTAAATAGCATCGAGCATCGTCTGTGACACGAGCACATCCTTGGATCCTCATCTTCTACGACCCCGCGAAACGCCAAGACACTACAACCACAATGTTGGAATACTTCTCATACAAGAAGATCAAGAAGCATAGGGCCGAGAAAGCGGCCGCAGAAGAGGCTGCACATGCCACGGAGGCGGGACCTGCAGCTAATCAAACACCTGCGCAGACCCATGCGCCTGTGCCTGAGATCAAGACAGAAGCAACCGATGCATCTGCTCAGCGTCACAGCACCGAACACCGTCCCAGCTCCGATACCCCTCCCCTAAGCCCAGTTCTCGACCAAGATGACGAGTCCTGGCTTCGAAGCATCCTCGAAGATGACAGTCCCCCTCCCCCTTTGCCACCGCGCATCAAGACCCCCCAGATCGATCTGTCGTCAGCCGACGAGAGCGAACTAGAGGCTGTTAAGGAACTGGATTCCAAGAGCAAGAAGGAACAGGAGAAGGATAAGAAGAAGCATGAAAAGGAGATGAAGAAAGAAAAGAAGGAGAAGGAGAAGAAGGAAAAGGAGAAGGAAAAGGAAAAAGAGAAGGAAAAAGAGAAGGAAAAAGAGAAGGAAAAAGAGAAGGAAAAAGAGAAGGAAAAAGAGAAGGAAGAAAAGCACCCCAACCGTCTCACAGCCTTATTCACGAGACACAAGAAGCAGGGCGATGAGCTCAAGCCAGAGGATGTTGTTGTTTCTACCCAGGAAGCCGAACAGGAGACAAAGGACCTCGGAAATGTCCTCGATCGTCTGAACCTTCAAGCCAAGAACAACAAGATCATCTCCCTCTCCAACGAGTCGTCCGAGCTCCTGTCGCGCTTCACACAGGTCTTCAAGGACCTCGCCAACGGTGTCCCGACGGCATACAACGATCTCGCAAGCCTCATCGAGGACCGCGACGGCGCCATCAACCGAGGCTTTGAGAAGATGCCTTCGTCCCTCCAGAAGCTCGTCACTCAGCTTCCAGACAAGCTGACGTCGTCTCTGGCGCCAGAGATTCTCGCAGCTGCGGCCGAGAGTCAGGGTCTCAAGGCACAGACGGAAAAGGGCGTCAAGGGGGCTGCCATGGACCTGCTCAAGCCTCAGAACTTGACTGACCTCGTGACGAAGCCTGGTGCTATTGTTAGTATGCTCAAGGCCGTCGTCAACGCCCTGAAGGTGCGGTGGCCCGCGTTTATCGGCACAAACGTCATCTGGAGCGTTGCGCTATTCTGTAAGTACCCCTGAATCCTCACATACCTCCCGGTCGCTAACATTTGTGCAGTGCTCATGTTTGTACTCTGGTACTGTCACAAGCGCGGCCGCGAGGTCCGACTTGAGCGCGAAAAGTCCGAAACTGAGATTCCTATTGATGGAAGCGAGCGCATCGAGGAGCTTCCTGATGATCCTCAGCTCCCTGCACCCGAGACCGCTACCGCGACCTCGAGCACGAACCCAGCGGCTACTAGAGAGCCTGTATCGCCATTATCGGAGCCATCGCCGGTGGTTGTTGAACCGGCTGCCGCACGTGATTCGGCACGTTGATAAACGTTCGAGGCCAGTTCTTATGAGTTTGGAGTGCGTTCGCATGGTAATGAGCAATATCTTACGACTCAAGTTATGACGACAATGGATGATATGATAAGGCCGATACTGGGCCATGAAGCAGAGGATACCAGGTTTCATTAGTGATGTGTATCTTGATAATTACAAATTTGATTCTGCGTTGCCACAGTGGGTATCTTTACTTAATAGGATGTGAAAGTCGATCATGATGCACCCCGGTATCTCCTTGTGAGCTTCCATGGATAGGGATGGACGTTAATGTGCTGGGCCGTCTCAGTCATCCTGGACCAGCTCCTTGATCTCTTCCCGTCCTGGCGCCATGGCAACAGCTTCGCTCTTGGCGCTCACGCCTTGGCGATCTGTTGCACCCCCACCATCCTTCATCCAGAAGTCGACCTCGTCGATAATATCATAGACAATATCCTCGGCGATCTGGTCGCGATAACGCTCTGAAACGGCGTGGAGCTTAGACAACCTCGCATTGGGAGGTAAGACCATATCCACGTCGCCGTTTGTGGTGTCGTCGGTTGGGGGATACCAAAAGTCTGGCCCAAAGTTGACCTCAACAGCACCGCCACGAAAGACGCTCACGGCAGGGTAGTATCCCAGCATTCCGTCGTCGAGGCCTTCCCGGGCACCCACTTGAGGCATCGGGCGAGACGCAGGAGGGAGGAAGCCGAGGAGGTTTTCAAAGGGGGTGCCCATGAGAACGCCGTTTTTGAATACTCTGATACGTGAGTTGGGAAGAGTGCGAAGGCCTGGGGTTGGGTGGGTAGGTCCGGGTGCTTCCGAGTTGTTGTTGACACTTGTAGAAGCCGGGTTCATGAGGTCCTCCAACTCTTTTGTCGTGTGATACTCGATCTTTTCGAAATAGGTATGAGCCTTAAAGCGGATAGGCACGCGATCGCGCACAATGTTGTGCGCTTCAGCCGAGGGCGCAGGCTCCTCGTCAGCCTGGTCGACCAACGGGTTGTACTGCCCAGCCATGATCTTGCGATGAAGATGTTCTGACGGCAGTTGAATCTCCAGTCCAATGACATCGCCTTCTCGAATGCCTTCTCCCTCAGGGAAGAATTCCTTCGGCCGTGACATATGGACCTTCTCTCCCGCGACATCTCGGATGCCGTAGCTGTAGGCATCGAATCCCACGGGCGCATCTAGAGATGCCTCCCGCCTTGCCCAGCCCATTCGAACATGTCGTCCACCGTCTGGCTTGGACTCGCCATCTTTGGGCGGTCTTATTCCTTGTGTGATTTTGCATTCCCAGTACCACCGACCCTCTCTTACAGCCACATTCGCACGTGCCATTCGAAACCCTTTATCAGTTGTGACTTGTCGCGCCGACTTGTCGAAGAAGACGTGCCCCGCAGAGTCTTCAAAGCTCATGCGGGGCCCGAAAGGCTCAGGCTCGGTACCTCGATAGTAGATCATGGATGGGAATAGGGGGTCGGCGATACAATGCGTGTAGCGGAAGTTCTTCTTGTTGGAAACACTTTTTGTGTCAGCTTGGAGCGCATTGAGCTGATCGTGATCTATACTTACTGATCAGATGTCTCAAAGAACTCAACTGCTTCACCGCTGGGAGTAGTTATTTCGTGGTGCGCCGTTAAGACAGGCCCTCGTGGGAGGTCAAAGTCGGACGGCTTGGGAGGCGCAAGCTTGTAGCGGAGCGGACTAGATTCGCTCTGCTTTGGTTCCTTTGCCCTTGGCCTTGGATCCGGGGTCGCGCGGGCACTGTCACCGCCCTTGGCTTCGCGTTTCTTGAGCGTGTCCTTCTTTGTACGGACCGACTTGGAGCGGGCGGCTTGCGCAGCTGCATCTTCGGGGGCTAGAGACTCGGAGGGCCTGATTTCGGGGTTCAATGGCGAGGGAACGACGGGGCTGTGACGGCCTTCTTCGAGGGCGCGCTTCTGCGGGATCGAGGATAGGGGAAGGGTTGGGGTAGGCTCCCGGTTTGGGCTGCTGCCGCGCTCGGATGTCATGATGGAGAATCCAAGAGGCGATCCTCTGCGGCAAATGTATCGATATGATCTCCGAAGACGCCAATCGGGTGTGGGTGACGTTCACGGCGAGGTTGACGCTCAAAACGGTGACGATTGCGATTCGCGAAACCCACCCACTTTGGGTTGAAGCTACCGGCAGCCTCGCGTCAGAAGCACCGACCGACCCAACAATTGTTTGGCGTTCGAGAACTGTGGCGCAAGAGCGAGGTACGAAGGTACGTACCTCAGATAAGAAAAAGAGGGCCTGATCTCGGCCTAGCGTCGACTGGATCTTGGTCCATCAGGGCGACCAGGGCGATGATCCCCTGCGCAAAAGCCGGGCAGCGGTGCCAAGTGGTCCTGAGGAATTTCTCCGTACGAGCTGGGCCAATCAGGAAGCGGGCAATGTAATCCGAGGCATTTCAGGGGCGACCGAGCCCATTTGACAGAGCCGCGGTGAAGAGGGGGGCCCGCTAACTTTTGGATCTAAGGGCCTGTGAGGCCCCTGTGACGGCACCTTGCGAAAGGGTCCTCGGCGCGCCAAAGGCTGCTGCGAAGAGCGCCGCGATGCTCCCCCGTGGACGGTTGAGTGAAGATCCGGAGGGTTTGAGACGCCGCTGGACAGGGGACAGGTTGGGGGATGCGTCTGGCGTACGACCAACAAGCAAGCAAGTCACCGCCAAGGGGGTTTGACAGCTCGCGGGCTCCAGGCTGTCGGAAACGGCACGTCGTCGAAGCTAAGAGGCACTAGAATATGGTGCTATGAATGGCCATGGATGGCTCCAGAAGAGGACCGGTCGTTTTAACCCCAACCCACCGACCGAGAAGACCGACCGTGGCGGTCATGGTCATCCCACGCTCGAGGGGGCCCGTCTCCGCGTAGTCGCATCATGCTGGGCCTCACCACCAGAAAAGGCAATACACAGATTCTGGCGACGTCTTTTGCACGTCACTCCCAGGCTGCGACTCGTTTTCTCGTTTCTGACCAGGGAGAGGGAAGAGAGCACAAAGCCTGCTCCGGGTGCGGACTCCTGGTTCCATTAGGCCATGCACATGCACTTGCCGACGTCCACTCTCATATCCACCATAACTAATATACCTTGCGCAGTACGGCGCGCCTATTGTCACTGACTGGAGCTAGACAATCCAGCCCCAGCCCCATCCTACCTTGCAATCAATCAATCGCCTTATCCTGCTCATCCTCATCCAACCTGACCTTTCCCTTGCCCTCAACACTTCCAATCCATGCTGCTTGTTGTTTCGGCTGCTTGGTTGCGTGCGTTGCCGACTTGCGCCTCATCCACCTCCGCGAATTCGAATTCTCCCCTCCTTCACCTCTCCCACCTCGTCCTCTGACCTCACTCCCCCCGGGGGTCCTCCACCGCTGTTCTTTGTCCGCCGCCTATGTGCGGTGCGTTGATCGATCTGGGACTGCACATCTACCCCCTGGTCTTCGTCACCGTTCCAGCCTGGTGGTGCTGCGAGCTCATTGACGACGGCCTCCCCTGCCCTGACCTTGGCTGCCACTGACCTGCCAAGCACGCCTTCGAACCTCTCGACGTCCTTCGGTTTGCGCCGCCCTGTTGTCTTACCAACTTCTGACTACTCCCAACTGATCCCCGCGCCCGCTTCCTTCCTTGCTCGGCGATCCGTCTTTCACATCGTCTTTGTTTCTTCGCTCCTCTGTTCTCCTCCCCCTCCTTCTCTTCCCTCTCGACATCATCTCCCAATAGCCCACCCCCGGCTTTGGACCCCCGACGTGGACTCTCGCTCTGGCCTGACGTCGGCCCCGACCCTCCGGTTGCTGTCGCGTCGCTATCTGGCATCTCTGTCGCCTGACCAATACGCCGGCTCCCGTTCGTTCCAGTCCTGACTGACTGACCGATCCGTCCATTGGGGCTACTGGCTGGGTCATCTGCCTCCGAGTCGACGTACCCCGTACCCTGGCGCCTTTGTCGACTGGTCTGCCCACCGGCGAATTCGCAACCCGGCGATACATATCTTTTGGCCTTGCGCCAGGCCCCTTGCTAGGTACCTGCCTTAACTCCTGGCTTACACCTGGCACCGAGGCTAGGTAGTCATACCTTATTTAGCTCTCTCCTTGCCCAAAGGATCCTGTTCTGTCTGTAGTTGCGGCACCCGGCCCCGGCACCTCTCCGGATTCGCCTCCTTCGTCGGCCGGCTTGCAACCACTTGACAAAGCCGCTGCAGCCGTCCACGACTCGCTCCAAAGAACTTCTCTTTCATCATCAAACCCGCCCTTTCTGCCCCCAAACCCTGTACAACCATCCATCGTAACCTTTCGCGCCGACTCGATATCGACGCCGATGCATGATACAGTTCTCTTGTATAACTGACCAATCCATCTCTACTCTAACACACCCTTCCGTTTGGTACCCCGGTATATCCACTCGCCGTACCCCAGAGCCACCGTCATCTTGGTCGTTTCGACAACATCGGCTCTACCTACGGGCATGAGCGAAGAGATTCAGCCAGCGGCGCTGTATAGCCATCAGCGCGAGGCAGGCCCGGTGCGAACTGCCTTGCCATCAAGGCCCATGTCCTCAAAACCGAACGAGGGTGTGGCTGCATCTTCTCAGGAACGAACACGTCTTCCCACGGGTCAAGAGGAATACGGCCAGCGACAAAGGCTGAGCGGAAGTCCACCTGGTTCAAAGGCAAGCGCATCTTCAGGCCCCATGTCCAAGCGAAGTCCTGGTTCGGAGCGTGGCACGAAAGCGAGCCCTCCTCCAGGTAGCAGTCATGGCCAAGTGTGCAGGTGAGTTATTCAAATATCTTGTCGTCTTATCGATTCTCATTATGGGTTAGCAACTGCGGAACCACTCGAACGCCATTGTGGAGGAGATCCCCTCAGGGCGCCACGATTTGTAATGCCTGTGGGCTCTATTTGAAAGCCAGGAATGCTGCTCGCCCGACAAGCCTCAAGAGACCACCGAATGTCGTCCCTGCGGACCCTCCACGAACCGCTCCACCGAAACCCGCCGCGGCCGCGGCATCGTCGAAGTCTGCGTCGAATGCGACTTATGTATCTGCCGATCAGACTCCTGGAGGAACTTGCCCCGGCGGTGGCCGTTGTAACGGAACGGGCGGTGCTGAGGGTTGTAATGGTTGTCCGGCTTA